GGAAGCATTATGATAATATTTCACGAGGTCGTGTAATGGTCAGGATGGCCGTGTCGGAGCATAATTTTGCATGTGTTAGTGTATGGGTATTCTGGTAGTGTATTTCATCATAATGGAAATATTGCATCAGCCTCTTTTTGCGCAGTTATTGGTTGCTTGTAGTTTGTAGTTTTGGGAAGAACCGTTTTAGCGCGGCGCCAGCGTGTTGTCGCTGACGCCGACTGTGGTTCGATGGTAAGCACGTAGAAGAAGTGTGCGACAGAGTGCAGTTGTGCGTAGTACTTCAGTGCGATCGGAACTCACTGCGCTAGCATTATGGCGAATAACAACGAAACTGCGACATATATAATATAATCCAGCGTGGGATACGTGAATATGGTTATAGTTTGCCAAAAGTACTCGTATATATGCATATATGTTGTTTTACAGTACATAAATACTTTTTATCTCAATACTTTTGAGTATGTATATAAAAATATAAAAAATTGTTAAAATATATAAATATATATTATATATATTAAATAAATAAAAATAAAAGAAATATTGAAAATGCGCAGGGATATTTAATAATAATATATAAATATAGGTAAAATATTCAAAAAATATATACATATGTATATACATATACATATGTGAGATATAAATGTAGGATTTTTTCCCTTGTATTTTTCAAGTTTAAGTTCTTATGTTGTTGGTTCGTTTGTACTTATCGAGTATAATGTTGTGTATCGTTCTGATCCTAACTGATTTGGATATCATTAATATATGTTTACCCAATCAAGAAAAATTAACTATTAAAGCCGCCGGCCCAAGTGGTTTCAATAAATGTATCTTCAAATGCTTCTTTAGTTGACATAAGTGTAGCTTTAAAATTTGATTATGTGTATTTTTCATGGTCCGATGCGCAAATATGTTGCTTAAATATGTTTGTTAAATTTTTTTTGTATTATGCAAAATTATTTTTTATTGTGTCACATATTATCATATATATTTAAATGCTCGATTCACTGGCAGCGATCAGCTAATGACGGCCTTTAACATTACAGTATAATATTTTTAAAAAGCCAAAGAAACAATATACTGATTCATGGTGCAAACAGGACAACTGGGTATCCGACCAAAGGGTATATGTCTCTAAAAGACGAAACTCTTTTGACAGAATGTCTGGGCAAATACGTCAGAGGGTTTACAATGTTAAGCAACCAATAAATAATATAAACCCCCCAAAGGAGCTGAAAAACATAACACTTGTCGACTCCCCTCATTCACTGTGAGTTCCATTCATGGCTCCAGTGAAGTAACAGATACTTGATACCATTAGTACGTTTGATGCCATAATAAATTTCGACTTGCTAACGCAGGCCGGAGCGGCATTAGATCTACGCAACAGCGCAATCAGGTATGGAAACATATCTAAACTGCTAAAATGCTACGAACGCGGTACTGCAAAACTTCACAAATATCTTCCAAGGGCGATTGACGATTTTCCAACAAATTGGAAAAATTTGTTACTTCTATGTAGACGATGTGATCATTTTTTTTCTTACCACGTCATACACATTGACGCATGTTTTTCAATACAACAGAGTGACACAAAACTCAACTCAACTCAGAGAGTGGCTCAAAAAAAAAACATATTCTTCAAAGAAAATGTTGAATTTGTAGGTTTTATTGTCACATAAAACGGAGCCAAGACAGATCCAGAAAAGATAAAAAGAGACATCCGGATTTTTACGGACCATCAGCCTCTCAACTTCGCTTTTGTCCGAATGGAATACAAATTCTAAAATGAAACGATGGAAAGCATTCATCGAAGAACACAACGTCACAGTGTTCTATAGGGCTGGAAAGGAAAATTTAGTGGTCAACACCTACACGGTCGAAACTACCGTGAAGCCCCTGAACTGCTACAGGAATCAAATAATCCTGGAAGAAGCAAGCCAGCCCTCACAGCGTCATTTTATAGTTTTCGGGACATAAATCAACACATTATAATATCTCTTAATATCTCTTTTCGGATCGATTAAAGAATTTGTAAACGTAGATGTTGTGGACAATGTCTACTACAACCTAAGCTTCGTGAATGATATCACGGTTTCTAATGAGAAGAGGAAAATTATTACATGCGACCGCGGCCACATTGCAGCTCAGGAAAATGTTAAACAAGTCTTTCAGGATTACTATTTTCCAAATTTGTCCAATCTCGCCAACGAAGTGGTTATAAATTGCAAGACTTGCACCAAGGGTAAGTACAATAGGCACCCCAAGATGCGGGAAAATTGCTGTATATAGACATCTACTCCACGGATAAAAACCTGTGTGAATAAGTACTTAAAGTTAGCCGTATTACAACCATTAACTCCTAGGGCCATAATTGACGTACGACGTTGGGTAAATTTTTTCCAAAATACCAAAACAATATACTGCGGTAACGAGACATCCTTAAATTCGGAGACCATAACTTCGTTATTGAAAAACCAATATGACATAGGCGATACCGTCGAGCTCATCACGAGAGCCACGTTAGATTATAATAAAACGTTATACTCAGTCACAAGATTACGAACAAAATATTCCTTGCTCAGGTACTGGCAATAAACACATCATTGAAAAAGCGCAACAGGCTAATTTTTTTTAGAACAAGACAGGTGTAACCCTTTTTTATGAGGCAGGAGGTTTAAGGTTAAGGCTTACCTTAAAAACAACAAAAGGTTACGAAATAAACTAACCGCACTCTACACAGAAGAGCGTGTAGAAGCAGGGAACGTCTGTCCTCTTTAGAGGGAGGGTTGTCCATAAGGACAACCTTACAATCTTACAACCTCTCAATTTTTTCGTCTCCCGCAATTTTTCTACATTTGTTCACGCACCTTATACTTAATCATACTTATTCTTATTATATGCACATTAGATTTCACCTTCTTATATGATCGCCGGGAATATTATTGATAACTTTAACTATAGTTAACGCTAGAATGACAGACTGCTCGCACGCCCAATATATCATTATCACGGACGGTGTCGCACAGATAAATTTGCTTAGAGATTAAAGAAATCTGACCAAATTCCAAATGATACTAGAAGAAACTTGTAGGTTCTCCGATTTATTCCCAGAGTCGCATATGCGAAAATTGTTAAATGTCGATACCGACCTTATAAAAAGTTTATTGTCCGTATTAAGAGTTCATCATAGGATCGCCAGGAGCCTAAACTTTCTAGGCACTGCACTTAAGGTATTAGCGGGCACATCTGATGCCTCCGATATTGAAATGTTAAAAATGTCGGAATCCCGGTTAATAGAGTCAAATAATAGGCAGGTAATCATTAACACCCAAACCCAAAATTAAATTAATGAATTAACAGATGCAGTTAACAAAATCATTCAAGCAAAACAAAATAATATGGTTGACACTCCTCACTTGTGTGAAATACTGTTGGCTAGAAATAGAATGTTAATAACAGCAATTCAAAATTTAATGCTCACTGTCACACTGGCTAAAGCCATAAACCCTGCCATTTTTAACCATGACGATTTGAAGTCTGCACTAATTGATCACCCCACAGAAATCCCAGAAGCATAATATAGGCATCTAATATTAGAATCTTCCAGTCCGATAATATTATCCATGTGATAATTGCATATCCCAATATTGAAGCCACTTGTAGTAAGGTAACAATTTTAAAATAATTTTAAAATAGCTACCAACGGCTCACATCTATTTATGTTTGATCGAGTGGCTTTCATCAATGAAAGCAAATACTCCAACCAACGTGAAGCCATAAGAGAAACACCGGACAAGGCTGCATCGTTTGTTTCAAAGCTTCCAGCTGCAGTTAAAGCATTCGTCAGGTCCTGTCGTCAGGATTTGCAGCAATTGCGTTGTTGTTTGGTTTCTCGTTGTCAGTAAAATAAAGTCTTCTCGCAATCATTAATCGGACATTATGTCGGAACGATGTTTCTGCTATCGTTATGCGTACAATTATCAAATATCAAAAGCCGCGGTCCGTAAAAAGAAGACAATACCTTTTAATTTGGCGAAGTAAGACCGTTCGAGAGGATTTTCTAATTGTGCTGCTTACTCAGCTCTTTTTGACAGATTTTAATTTTTGCCGGCGGCATCAAATGCCACTTATGGATTGCCACATCCGTCATTGTCTCCATCTCGCTTTCACGCACTTTAGCTGAATAACGCTTATCTGATAATCGTGAAACTTGAGTATATCTTTAAAAAATGGACTTGCTAATATCACTAAGTAAAGAATATATTTCTTATCAGTAATAAGTTTGTATTTTAATTTGGATAAAATATTTGATAGTGTTACGTAATACATATATATCACGTTCGCATACATATATATTGCTTTTACAGTAATAATCCGCTGGCAATACCGAAAAAGGTGGTTTCTTGATATTATGTTTTTGCTCGATTTTTTCAAGCGTAGTATAGAACGAATTGGATTAGCGGATTCTATTTTGGTAATATTTAAGATTTTGGTAATATTATTTGGTGAAAAATTTATGAATAGTTATATTATTTGCGAATAAAATGTGCATCAACAGAGGTGATTTATATCGATGACTTGCGTTGTTTTTGCAATTGTGTGTCATCTACTACTACTACCAATGTTGAAGTCATCTTTAGTTTTCATACAAATTGAAAAGGTGATCAAGAGCTCGAGATGAATGCTTTTTGGTGATTAATCAATAAAAAATTTAGGTATGGAACTGCAGGCTTGAACTATTTTGGTGTCGAATGAGAGCCGGAAAGAGAAAGTTAAAAAGAAGCAAAGTATCATTTAAAAATAGCAGAATCTATTTTTAACAACATCAAATCAAATTAAATAAAAATACACATTCATTCGAGTTTTATTAAAAGCTGCATTGTAGCAAAAATAGCTTTTAAATATTAAAAAAAAAAAAAAAATTAATCGTTTCGCATTGTTATGGATTAAACCGAACACGAGTAGGTGACTGGCCCATTATTCGTAATCATTAGTATGAGTCCTTACAACTGTGACTTTGTTGCCGTGGAAATAGATGTTTTGCGGGTGTGAACAGGCCTTTAATATAATTTGTGTTTTCCTCCCGTTTTGAGCGATATAAAGGCGGTTTTACAAACATCGTATAAGACTTGCAATCCTGAACTGTAATCTATTTGTATGTTGCGATAGTAACAGGGTGTTGTATAGAGCTTTTAATGTTTATTTATTAGAAAAAAATTAAGGAGCATCCAACAAATCCTAAACCCAAACCTACCAATCGTATAGTCCATGCGACGTAAATCAACAACTTTTACCAACATCTGAAATTGCGTGAGTTTCATATATAACTGGGGCCTACACAAAATTGTAAACTTTTATCATTTCCCAAGGTTAGGCCAATCAACTCATGGATCAAATCTCAACTGCTGCTGGCAACGCCAACCCTGCTACAGTTCCTGCCAAAAGGGGTACGCAACAAGGTCGAAAGAAGTCTGGGCCCAAGTTCGAACTGTCTGAGGCCCAAAAATCCGACATTAAGGAGGCTTTTGATCTATTTGACAACGAAGGCACGGGCTACATTGAGGTGAAGGAACTTAAGGTGGCGATTAGGGCCCTGGGATTCGAACCAAAAAAAGAGGAGATAAAGAGGATGATTTCTGACATTGACAAGGACTGCAGCGGGCGTATTGCGTTTAACGTCTTTTTGCAACTGATGACTATAAAGATGGCCGAAAAGGATACCAAGGAAGAGATACTTAAAGCTTTTCGGCTTTTCGATGACGACGAGACTGGAAAAATCTCCTTTAGAAATCTAAAGAGGGTGGCTCGCGAACTTGGTGAAACACTGACCGACGAGGAACTACGAGAGATGATAGATGAAGCCGATTTGGACAATGACGGAGAGGTAAATCAAGAAGAATTTCTGCGTATCATGAAGAAGACTAGTTTGTATTAAAAAGCAAATCTAGCTATATTTTAAAACATTTCGTTCCTTCCTGCTCATGAATTATTCAACAAATGTACACTTTTGAGGTACACTTTAAATAATTAAAGAATCTTTCCATAAATAATTTGCAGTTCTAAGTCATTCATTAATTATAAATGAGTAAGTTCTATAGAAATTATTTAATTTGTCATATTAATATTAATAACAAAAAAATGGTTTAGCTTGTTTTGAATATTAAACAAACATGCTTCTTCCCGAGGTGTGATAAAGCAACGTTGCAACATTAAGTGCAAATATTTCTGATATCAAATTTCATGACGATAAATAGTAACGTCATAAAAATGTATTACAAGTAATTATTAGTTTCCATTAGTTCTTTGTTAGTTTTTTTTTGTACAACGCTAATTTTTACAGCTTTTTTGCCGAAATCCAAACTACGTAAGTACTTTATACATTTTTGAGATAAAAGGGTACAATATTGACATCTCACATCGTAAAAATTATATTTTTGATATTGGTATAGCTAAATACCATCACTAGAACCAGTTTTTTTTTAAAATAACAATAAAGTAATTGAATCTTATAAATGTTTAAAAAGATTTTGGGAAGATTATTAACTTAAACGATATACCTATTTTACATTTATGTTTTTAATTCGAAGATTTTGCAATTTTATTTTTTAATGAAATGTATAAGAAATTGTTTTACTCAAAAAAGTACAATTTTATAAATAAATGAAAACATAAAATGAACAATTTTATTAAAGCTTTCTTAAATAATGAAGTCTTTCATACTTAAAAGCACGATTTTGTAACATTTAATTATAAAATACGACATAAAGATAGCACCATTATTATATATTTGGTGCATAATAACACATTATGATTAATCTTTTTTTTTTATCTATTATAATAATTTCAATTAGTTTTCCGACTATTCCAATGAAAGCTACATGAATAAGTTATTCGATCTTAATCAAATTAACACCAAAATAAAGTATGGTCAAACAAAAAAAAAAAAAGCTTATAGACGAGCTAAAAACTGACCTTAATATTTTAAAAAAGGCTATAACAGATGCTCCGTAAATACCCTCGGTTTTCAATTCAGCCAAAAGTCATTGAGCCAAAGCAATTACATCTAAAAATTTAGTGTTTGAAGCAGTCTTACGATCGTTTTCGATATTGGCTGATTGGTTACCGGATGAACTGACCCAAGAAAATGTTTTATTTTTAATTTTAGGAAAATGTATGTTTTTTGGATATTTATTCTTTAATTTATTTTTTTAAACTTATTTTATTAATAAATTGTTATTTAAAGACTTTTATGAATAAAGAATGTTTGAAATGTTGGAGCGAATATAAATAAAAGTAAAGAATGCGGCATCGCTTACTCGGCTCGAAAATTAGATTTAAACAATTTGGCACCATTGGTTTTTGAAGCTAAATAAAACAGCCTGAAACAAATCAGCTTTTTGTGGGGAGCATCGCTAGAGGGTTTCGCACAGTTCGCACCCGGTATAAACCTTATTCAGCCAGCTTGTTTAAAAGTCATATTTTTTGCCAAAGTCTCTAGCTTTAGAGATTCACAAAGAGGTTGCGTAGGAAATTGAAATTTTTACAGTTGTGTTCCTGCAACCCGTTACTCAGCTAATAGAAGTGCGAACGAGAAATTTCAACATTTTCCGAAAAATCGGTAAATATTGGGGAAATTATTTTTTTTCAAATAAAAACTTACAAATTCTTTAAAATTGTGGACGTGACAGTTTTGGATAGCTTGTGGACGTTAGAGTGGGCGTGGAAAAAATTTTTTTTAGACAAATCTATAGAAATATTCAAAAATTTTCAAGATATATTCAAAAATTAAAAAATATTACAGCGTTTTTCAAAAGTGTGGACGAGACAGTTTTGGGCGGTTTGGGGGCGTTGGAGTGGCCGTGGCAAAAAATTTGTTGGCAAATTTAGAGATATTTACAAGATATATTATATAAAAAAAATTTAAAAAGAAGACAACATTTTTTAAAAGTGTGAGCGTTGCAGTTTTGGGTGGTTTGTGGGCGTTAGAGTGGGAGTGGCAACATTTGGAAATATTTAGAGATATTTACAAGATATATTATATAAAAAAAATTTAAAAAGAAGACAACATTTTTTAAAAGTGTGAGCGTTGCAGTTTTGGGTGGTTTGTGGGCGTTAGAGTGGGAGTGGCAACATTTGGAAATAAACTTTAGCTGCATCTATGTCTCTGGAAGCTTAATCTCAACATTCTAGCTCTTGTAGTTCCTGAGATCGACTCGGCTATTGATCCTGATCAAGAATATATGTTCGGAAACGTTTCCTTCTGCCTGTTACAGACTTTTCAACGAATCTAGTATACCCTTTTACGCTACGAGTAACGGGTATAATAAATGCAAAAGTGTGGGCGTGGGGGATATGGGTGGTTTGAGGGCGTTAGACCATATTTTTTTTAGCATATCAATAAAAATTGGAAAGACAAATTAAATAGAAAAACAATTTGAACACATTTTCCAGAACTGTGGGCGTGGCAGTTTATAAAAAATGGAAAAAAAATGTTTGGCAATCCAATAGAAGTTTGAAAAACAAATAAGAAAATTACAAAATTTGAACCGATTAAAAATTTCAAAACTGAACGGTCCCATATTCGTTTAAGCTTTAAACAAAAAAAGATTACCGGTTTCAACAAAAGATGACAATATTCAATCGGAAAATCAACGGAAACCGCCCCATATTCATTCGGGAGAACAGCTCAAGGTATTGCTGAACAGCAGCTGGTTGGGAATGATACCTTACACGTTAAGGGAACCATATGCGAAACCAAAATGGAGAATCACTTTGGTTAGTCACAAAATTTATAAATAATTACAAAAATAATTGTTACTCTAACCAACTAAATCAGCGAACGAAAAGTTGCTAAAGCTTGCAAGTTCTCATAAGTACCAATATCATACTTGGACTTCAAAGCGAACGGTCGTTTTTGCTTAATCCAGCGGAGTTTTCAATAAATTCGTTAAATATTAAATTTATTATCGTGCCGGTGAATCTGTTATGATTTTTTAACAATCTAAATAAATATGTTTATATAATACATATATATTTTCTATTTGTTTTTTTCTTTTTATTTATACGTGTACTCTTTCTTTCGTGCGTTGTACTTTTGCATGCACATCAACTGCACTGTGCACCCGCTCTCTCACCCAAAATCCGAAGTAATGAGTGGGGTACTTTTGTCGTTCTGTAAGCTGTTTGCTTACAAGTTTCGGTTTCGTTTACTTTGTACGGTGATCCGCGGTTTGAAGTCTCAGCGACAACCCCTGTTGAATGCAATGAGTTAAGCTGGTCTTTGTAGCTATACCTATTCTTATTACGTAAACTTAACAATAACTTGGTATTAAAATATGTTTATTTTAAAACAAATTATGTGTAAAGAGAAAGGTTGGATACAGTTTATAATTGCTAAGTATGGAATTGGTCACAGCCAACTTGACTTCGTAAATTCTGCAGAAAATACTTATGCCAGTAATTGGTTTCCGATGTCGCGCTGCAGGCCCGAAGGGCATGAATCTACTCGAGTCAAAGTCTCCTTTGCTAATGGTGGAACTCGTGAAACAACTCACGATTTGAAACAAACATATCGAACGGAGATTTAATTTGCTTGTACTTGTCTCTTATATAAACTTCTCCCCGTACGCTCGTTTGGTTGCCACTCAAAAAATAAGAACATCTGCTGAGGCACAGAATGGAACTGCCGCGAGAGGCCTACTACTCCTACCTTCGACCAAAGAATACCAGTGGTTCGTAAGGAAAAAGAGCAGGAAGTTGTATAGCAGCCTGCGTGGGCGTACACAGCGTTTTCAATTAACCCTATCAGCCGCCACACTTAGCTCATACAGCGTCCTCACAATAGCTATTCGCTATTGTACTTCACCATCAGTACGTATACCGTTTATCTCGCCTTCCATAATTGCAGGAACCACAAGAGTCCTTAGAGGACTTTTCCCATAAACTGGAACGCCTGGGCAGAGCCATCTTTGGCGAATTACCGCGACCTTCAACATCGACGAGCTTTATCGACGGTCTCCGGGAGACAGGATATCAGGTCCTTAGTTATGACCGAACAGAAACTCGAGGATCGCATAGGACTACCGCAACATTTAATTCCCCCCCTTCCTGATTAAATTTTTTGTAACCAGCGTGGAAACAAGGAGCAGCTCCGCGCACACCCAGTTCGAAACATTATTGACGCCCCGCCGCGCATTCCCAGTCCGCTTAAACCTGACACCGGAGCCGCCGTCCGATATGATCGTCTACGGACAGCCACCCAGCAGATTTCATCCAGGATGCCGCCGCCGCTGAACCCCTCCAAACATACATCACGTAGACTCCGTATTAGGCTTATTATTCGCTGAACTTACGTCCGGATATACGACACAAACCCCCTCAATTGTGGAGATAATTTCCAGACAATTGGAAACGCTGCCATAGCTAGGTATACCTGTAGTGCAGTTGGGTGCCAACACATACACTGTTTGATCTTCTTACAGAAGCGCGGCTCTGGTGCCGCCATTTCCCATCTAATTGAGCTACCTTTAGCTCTACTGGAACATGGGATCTCAGTTGCCTCCCAAAGTTCTTCTCGATAATGCCTTAGTGGACACCTCAAGCCGTACCAGTAGCATGTATTTCATGATTCTTAGCGCGCAGAAGTACACACTGCCAGTTCCACAGACTTATCCGTCGACTTTCCAGAGCGGCTACTGGCAGGTCAAAAGTTTTAGACCGAAAACTGCATTCACATGTGACGCTGGCATCTTTGAAATTCAGGTCTTTAAAATTAAATTATATTAAGGTTGAGGTTAGTTTCCTGGGTCGTAGCGTTAGCCCCAAGTGCTTAATGGCGTGCCCGGAAAAGATTCGGAAAGTAGCCGACTGGACACCCCCTTGAAACAAAAGAGAAGTGCGATGCTTTGTTAAACTCGGCTCGTATTACTGCAAGTTCATTCCGGACTTCGCCAACATCGCTCGCCCACTGCATGAGCTAACGGAAGCTAAACACCCTTTCGCATGGTGAGCAAGGGTTCACGATGCCTTCAAAAAAATGCCACAATAAAAG